AATCCTACAGAAGGAGGGGGAGAGGTTTTGGAGAGAAACTGCTTCTGTTCTAGTGTCTGGCATCTGCTATTTCTCCTTTGCTTACTTCACACACAAAGTGACCAACCCGAGGTGTCAGGAGCAAGCTTCCTAGGACACCAAGGAACAAAGAGACACCGACCATATTTTGGCCACGTTGCTTGATACACTATTTTCTCCAGTCATTTTCCAGGAGGCCGGAAGGCCATGAAGGCAACAAAGAGTAAGAGGTAAGCTAATTTAATCTTGGTTACAGGAGTCTTTGTCCTTACCTGGGTCATTCCTGGATCTAATAAAAGCAAGCAGAAATTAAAGCAGACATGTGAGGATCTTCCCACAGAGCCTCCCAGGACAGTCCTGTTAACAGTATAGAATCAAACACGGGAGGCCAAATAGGGCTTGAATGATTTCTCAATCTCCATAGAATGGCATGACTAGGGAGGGGGTTATTCTGAATTTATCCCCTATGTCCAGTTCAGCTGCAGAAGTACAAACTACTCTGGCTAAGCAGAAAGGAGTTTCATATTGAGAAATGGGTACATAAAACTTTGCATTGGGCTTCCAGGAATGACCCCTAGAAAAACATGACTGAATTGGCCAGCTGGGGCTGCACGTTTTGCCACAACTAAGAGAAGCCACTATTAAACTGCTGGCTTGGGGAATATAGCACACAGCTGCCATACAGGGAGAAGGAGGCTGCCGTGGCAACCTCAGCTGCCCCTCGCAAGACACTAGAATGCTGTACTACGGCCATACTTGCTATGTTTCCACCTTCCCAGACTCACGCTGGTGCATCTGACTGGGGAACCTAGTTCTTTATCAAGATCCTAGCTGCAAAGGAGTCTGGCAATGTGGTTAGTTTTCTTTCCTCTGCAGTGCAAGAAGGTCCATTAGAAGGGATTTAACTAGAGGCTAAAGACCAGGTCACCATAGCCACAGCATCTTCTTTTTACTGTGCTCTTGGAGGGCAGGCAACTGGACCCCAGCTGTGTGAACTCTGTTAAACATAAACACTGTTTTGGCAGAGAGAGCTCTTGACTCTGGTTATTTTTCCGCATTTTTATATCTAAAGCTGAATTTTAGCTGAATGCAGAGGTGGTGTTAATATTTACTATGATGCTCATCTCTTTCTTTCTCCTTCCTCCGTAAAAATGCAATTCACTCTTTTCGGTTTGTACTTTTGAAATATAAAAAAGGCCTTAAAATTTGAACATTTATTGAGACCTTGGGCAAGTGGGATAAACATCAGAACAAGACAAGGTCTCTGCCCTCCACAAGTTCAAAGTCTGGTTACTTTGGGGAAGGCCAATAGATCAACAAACAATCACAGCAGAATGTGACAAATAAATGCTACACAAGAATACAGAAGAGAAAGTCAGAGGTACAGTTACTGTGTACAAACTCTTTTCCTGAAAATCGAATACACTTCATTAGGTTCACCATGTTAAGAATCAAATTTAGGCCAGGTGCGGTGGCTCACGCCTGTAATCCCAGCACTTTGGGAAGCTGTAGCAGGTGGATCACTTGAGGTCAGGAGTTTGAGGCCAGCCGGACCAACTTGGCAAAACTCTGTCTCTACTAAAAATACAAAAATTAGCCGGGCATGGTGGCAGGTACCTGCAGTCCCAGCTACTTGCAAGCCTGAGGCAGGAGAATAGCTTGAACCTGGAAGTCAGAGGTAGCAGTGAGCTGAGATCATGCTGCTGCACTCCAGCCCAACTCTGTCTCAAAAAAAACCAAAAAACAAAAAAACAAAACGAATAAAATTTAATCAAACAAATGTTGAGAGCAAACGCTGGCACAGAATTTGGCTGTTGTAGGTTAGTCTCTCACCTCCCACATCCAATCTGCCACAGAGTTATGCCAAGTGTATTACACATTTCGCAAATACCCCACCAGCCTCACTGCACCGGATTATTGAAATGGTCTCCAGTTCTCTCCAGCCCTATTCTGAACTGTCTTCCATTGCTACCAGAGCACAGGCTCGCTGACCCAGTCTCACCTGTAATTACACCCCCTTTGTGTCCTGCTTAGCTTCACAGATCCTGCATTCATGCATCCCCCTATACAGCAGTATCTGGTTACTTACCTGTCACCTCAGCTTGACTGTAAGAGGCTTGGGGACAGCTGACATATCCTATTGCTCTATATCCCTACCACCTCATATAACAACTAAAATGAGTAGACACTTAAGAAACTATGCCAAGAATAAGCAAACAAACGGGACTGTTTTGAAAACGTCAGATGTGTTGCATATGCTAGAATTTTTGTCTTGAAGTAGAAAAAATGTTACTCTGTAGCAGACAATTAGGTGGGTTTTAAGAAAATTATAGTATGTATTTTGACTGTATCTTCATGATACCAAGTAAAGGTAAGACATTTTCATTTGTTATCCGGATATTTGTCCACCATTTTAAATTTGCCATTTTTCTACGTCGCCATTAGCAAAATAACTAAGTTATCAAGATTTGAATTCAGAGCATCTTTTAGCCCTTCCTTCGCTGCTATTCTAACTTCCTCAATTTATTACTATACCAGTATGATCCCTTCTTTAGATTTTTTTTAACTTTTAAGTTCAGGGGTACATGTGCAGGATGTGCAGGTTTGCTACATAGATAACCATGCATCATGGGGGTTTGTTATACAGGTTATTTCCTCACCCAGGTATTAAGCCTAGTATCCATTTGTTATTTTTCCTGATCCTCTCCCTCCTTCCACCCTCCACCCTCCGATAGGCCCCAGTGTGTGTTGTTCCCCACCATTATACCAGTATGATCTAAAGTCAGCTCTGTAATTATAGAGACAGGAACATGTAAAATAAAGAACACCGTAAATTAATGTTGCAGTACATTCATATTCTCATTCCATCCAACCCTTTGGTTTGGCAGTAAACCTGCCTTGGATCTGACAGTGAGTTCTAGGGTGCATTTATGCCCCTTTTGCAGATACTACTAACTAAGACCCCTGGATCTAAGATCCCTGGCTTCAAGGCACCTCTCTTCATACTCAGGGATCAACTTCGCTGTGTGGTAGGAGGTGACCAGAGAAACCCAATCTGTCTAAAATATCTCCCCTTCTTCCTAGAATTGCCAGCAGAACTGCTTTTTTGGATTAAAGATCTAATTGGAGGTCTTGTCTGTAGCAATTAAACGAATTCTTAATATACCTGTTGGCGGGGCACAGTGGCTCATGCCTGTAATCCCAGCACTTTGGGAGGCCGAGGTAGGTGGATCACCTGAGGTCAGGGGTTCGAGACCAGCCTGGCCAACATGGTGAAACCCCATCTCTACTAAAAATACAAAAATTAGCTGAGCGTGGTGGCAGGTACCTATAATCCCAGCTACTCGGGAGGCTGAGGCAGGAGAATCGGTTGAACCCCGAGGCGGAGGTTGCAGTGAGCCGAGATGGTACCACTGCACTCCAGCCTGGGGGACAAGAATGAGACTTCATCTCATTAAAAAAAAAAATGTACCTGTTAGCTGAGGAGAGACTTGAGATTAGTTCCTTCCCATTAACACCTTAACTCCCCAGGTACACAGTCACATGGATTAGTGTGTGATAATCTTGGTGTTGTAACAGCACAGGCCCCAAAGAAATTGAACAAAAACAGCATTTTAAAAACCTTTAAAAACATGAACTGTAAAGATGAACACAGCATTAGAGAAAGTTGAGAGAAAGAAGTCAGCACAATGTTCTTTATTTTTTATAAACTGTATTTCTTTCAATGCTCACATTTTACTTTTATAATCTGAAAAAATATCCTAAAACATGCCTTTTAAACCAATATTCCACATCTTGTGTAACTATTACCATTATTGTGTACTTCCTTACAGTGTGTATAGAAATGTTTGTATACAGTTGGGATCTGTTTGTGATATATTTCCTTTTGCAACTTAACATTGCCAAGGCACTTTGCCAGTTCTCATAGTTATTTAATTGGCTGCTAATAACTCAAGTTGATGAACCTTAATTTATTTAGAATCCCCTATTGTAGAATGTAATGGTCGTTCCTAACTTTTCAGTATAAATAACTCGGTGGTGTACATTTCCACACATATACTGTCCCTCCTCTCCTCCTGCCATTCTGAATACAGGGCCGGCGGAGGTGGGGGTTGCTTTGAAGGGTCCTGGGGATGTTCTTCGTCCAAGCTCATGTCATTCCTAATTTTGCTTAATCACCCCTTCCTCCCACCCCCACACATACCCGACGTAGAAATGGCTGGGCAAAAAGCCAACATCTGGTGACCGGACCAGGAGCTGGGGACCGGGTGGGAACAGGTGGAGGGGTCCTAGCGAATCCCCCCTGCCCTCCGCCCTGCGCCGCAGTTCTCGGGGCTTCCTTGCCCAGGACTGGTTTCAGGCCAGCCGGCGACTCGCAAGGCCAGGCTGCTTGGCCAGGCTGCTGACAGTCCGAAAAGTTCTGGGGCCCATTAGCTCAAGGAGCTGCGGGTGTGGGTCGGTTGAGGGCAGAAAATGTGCTCGCGGCCTGAGTCCAGACTTCGGATCCCCGCTCCCCCCGGGGCTGGATCCGCGACCCTGCGCTGGTCGCCGGACTCGCCGAGCCTCAGTTTCCTCACCTGTGAAATGGGGATAATTGTGAAGCTGAGGAGACAACTTGAGCAAAGCACTCTGTGCAGCGCCGGGCACCGAGTAAGGGCTCCCTAAACGCTAACCAACCCGCGGCTGAGGAAAATCGAGGCTCGGGGCCATCCCGTCCAAGTGTTTTGCCGAGGCCCCCGGGCTTGGCTAGGGGTCCACGCGGGGTGTGAAGGGAGTCGCTCGCAGCCCAGCAGCCAGGGGCTCCGCAAGGATCGAGGGGAGGACACTCACCTTCTTGGCCCCCGGGCGTCCGGCAGGTGCCATGGTGCGGCGGCTCTGCTGGCGCTGGGTCCCCGGGCTCGCGGCCGTCCAGGAGCCCGCCCCCGCCCCCCGCCCCGGGGAGGGTCCGGCCGCCGCCCTGCCGGCCCAGCCGCCTCAGGCTGCCCGCTGGCCTCGGAGCAGGCGCCCGCGCCCTCGGCCTCGGCCTAGTCATGCTCCTCCCGGGCGCGCAGCGGCTGCGGGGCATCCTGCTGCGGAGCTGCGGGTCGCTGGGCTCCCCCGGGCGCCCGCGCTCGATCTGCGGCCGGGAAGGGTGAGTGGGGCCCCCGCCTGGGCAGAGGCGGCGGGGCGGCTGCGGGGTGGGAGCCAGAGGCTGAGGCAGGCTCTGGGGTTAGGAGCGCTCCAGCCTCCAAGAAATGGACCTTCAGATACCCTCTCGAATTGTCAATTAATTATAAAGTGAAACAATATCCAAAGGTTCCCCGTGTAAAGTCTCTCCTGCCCCAATCCCTTCGCCCGGTCAATTGTTAATAGTGTCTTCTGAATCTAACCGTCTGAGCATAGACAAACACAGGTCAGTATAGGTTCTTCTTTGGCTTATTGACATCTTGCTTTTCACAATTATCAACGTACCTTGGAGATTGTTCCATATCAGCACATACTGACTTGCCTTGTTCCTTTTAGTGGCTGCGTAGTTTTCCATCCTGTCAATATTCTGCACTATAGCTCAATAGTCTATTCGTTAACATTTAAATGGTTTTTGGTTGTTTATTACTGCAAATAACCTGCATATGCATCTGTCTTTGAGTACCTATC